GAATGCCTTTTTTAGAGCTGTGCCATTCTTTAAAGAATGGCACATACCGTAAGCAAAAGCTGAGCTTTTGGGAGAACAAAGGCAATTTAAATTATAGTCAGATTACAATCAAAAATGTCGGCAAAGATCCAAAATGATTCATGTCCTCCCTTGATTATCCATCTGCATTGTTCTTGGTGCTGTATTTCAATGACACTTGCCTCAAGTATACATTTGATCCAGTGAATTTAGAAACTGTTTTGGCAATAACAAATCATTCCATAAAAAATGATCCAAATAAGAGTTAAAACCTAGAGGTATCCGTTACGGAGCAACTGCACAAGGGTTCTCCCGTCACCAGAGTCTCCGTACAAGGCACGTGTAGGAATGCTCTTTATGCATCCCAAGTCAAACTATAGTACAATAAGTGTCATGCTCTAAAAGAGCTGGTGGCAAATTTGATACTGCTTATCCCCTCCTCAGATGACGTCTGTAGACTCACGTATCACTTCTGTCAGTAACAAACACTGCCCTTGTTCCCTGGAGATCTTGGTATAATCCTCGTCCTTGGCAATGTCCATTTATTTAAATCAGCCCCAGACATTGCTGCTGAAGCAGGACGATGCTGAAAGAGAGCACCAAAAATGGCAAGTCTATAAAAGATATCTCCTGTAATTAAAGCCAGTGTGTGCTCTGCTCCGATAGCAGGAAGGTTGTGCTCTCCAAAAGTATCAAAGGAGGACAATATTCCCCAATAATGTCGCACTACCAGTTTCTCCGTGGAGATGACCTAAGAGCCCTTGCTACATTGCTTCGTTCTAACAGGGGCACAAATGGGAGGGAGCAAGATTTAGGCTTGCGCAAGAATCAATAATACAGAGTGCTCTCAGGAAGACAGAAGGGGGATTTTCAAGACACGGAGAGTTCATTAAAGCCTTGACTTGTAAACAAGAGATCAGTATGTAACTCCCATAACTTTGGGCTTAGAAAATCACCGTCTCCTCCCACTAGGAAACAAAGTGCTACTTACCATTTCAGTGCCATTTTAAGCATGTGCAGGCTGTTTGGATTATAGTCTGAGATAAACGTCCTTCACCACACTGGAGCTCCTAATGACTCCCTCTTAACTCCGTAGAAGTATTTTTTCTTCTACAGTTCCTTAAGTAAGCACTTTTTGCAGGATAGGACAGCTTGCCTGTTCAGCTGTAAAGGGGAGAAGCCAGCAAAAGAGTAATTCAGCATGCATTAGCCATATTCTTAAGCGATGCATCTGAAGATGTTAGAAGTCTCGTTGGCTGGGCTAGTTAACAATGCATTTCCCAATGAACCGGAGCGGGAAAGAAGAAATATTAGAGAAGAAAATAAAGGTCGGGGTCTAAAAGCTGTGACCACAGGGAATAGGAGCTCGTGTGGTCATTTTGGAGCCAAATTCACTTGTTTATATTGGCACTAAGTGTCTCAATTCCAAGAAGCAGAAGAGAAGCTGACAAGGAGAGCGCAAAGCTGTAGAGGATGGATGTAAAAAAGAAGAACAATAAGACATTTACATCTGAGTTACTATAGGCAATTATAAAGTTGTAAACAGATTCAGGTTGGAAGCACTGCTGGGATCTCCGATCCGACCCCAGCTCACAGCAGGGCTAATGTCGCAGCTACAGCAGGTTGCTCAGGGCCACATCCAGGAGAATCTGGACAGTCCTCAAGGATGGAGATCCCCCACTACACGGACTGTCCCAGAGCGGCACCACTTGCACGAGGAAGGACTGTTGTTTCCTCATGGCCAGCTGGGATTTCCTCATGCTGCAGCTTGTACCACAGGCTCTGGTGCTTTTGCTGTGCCCCTCTGAGTAGAGTCTGGTCCCATCATCTCTGTAACCTCTTTGACAGTGGAAGATGCAGCTGGATCCCCCCTCACCTTTTTTGCCTCCCAGTTGAACAAGCCCAGCTCCCGCAGCCTCTCCTTCTATGCCCTGGCCTCCAGCCTGACCATCACCATGGATCTGCACTGGACTCATTCCAGTCTGTAAATGCCTCTGTTGTAGCGGGGACCCAAAACTTGTCACAGTATATATATATATATACGTGGCATCACCCACGCCAAGCAGAGGGAATGACCCCCTCTCTGGGCTTGTTGGCTGTGCTCTTGCTACCCTAGCCCCACAGGGGGTTGGCTTTCCTTGCTGCAAGGGCACCCTGTAGATTCCTGGCCAGCGTGTTGGGCTGAGGACTCCCAGCTCGCCCAGTCAGTCCCAGCCTGTCCCTGTGCATGAGGCTGCTCTGTGCTGGGGAAGGACTTTGCATTTGTCCTTGCTGAAGATCCTGCATTGATGGTTAAAAGAACAGCCTCTGTTTTATAGCAGAAGTATTAGCCTTCCTGAAGCTGCCTCCTAATAGAGTTCACCATGCATCAGCTGTGGACTGCAGGAAGCCAAGAAGATGCAGATCACCTGATGACTTTATCTGTAGGCTAACCAAATCCTGAGCTGTTGGATGTCCTGCTCAGTCTTCCAGGTTTTGATGATTCATCACAGAAGGGAGACATGAGAACAAAGCTCCTTCATAGGTGGCCTCAAACAGAGCATTTGTGACAAGTAATGGGAAACTCACTGGTTTCTGCCCCTAAACACTTCTGGCCTTGCCTGAAATCCTGTAGCCATTGTATTTCCCCTCCCATGATGCATGCATCTTGAGAGGTGAGAGGGCACTGTCCCCCTGCCTTTTGCCCTTTGCTCTCTAAGGCTTACAGCACAACACAGTTGCTCATTCAGAACAGTGTTTTGCCAGATTTCAAAACCAATATTCCAACCTTTCCTGTAGGTGCAGTGGAGAGAGTAAAGAAAATTAGAGACTACGCCTTCGTGCACTTTAATAAAAGAGAAGATGCGGTTGAAGCTATGAAAGCCTTGAACGGGAAGGTAAAGATGGCGTAAACGCTAATTCGTAGGGCCTGTATGCAACACATTACTAAACTAAAGCAGTGGGGCTTATTAATTACAAGAACATCCTGAAGGTGATGGCCCTATTCTCTGTTTGCAGGCTGCTTTTATATTCCTGAATTCAGTTTTCAGCTAGTGCACAAACTGTTCCTTTTGGCTTCCTGCTGCTTGCCTTCATGCTAAATGTTTGCCCAAATCAGACCGTAGTTCACTGCTCAAAAAGAAAAAGAACAATGCCGAAATGAGGAATAGAAAACATGGGCCTATGAGTTCTCTTGGCTCGTGCTCACATACTTGTATCATGTCTGCCAACAAAAACATTTACAGGGAAGCATGTGAATGGTAAACAGGGACAAACAAGGTCAACCCAAAACATCTGCTCCAAATTCAGATGCAGATTTGCAAGGAGATTGCTGTATTTAGTGTTTCTCACACTGTACATAATTCACGGTGCTGCAATGCAAGAGCTTTCCCCAAAGAGGTGTTAACCCTGTTCCTATTCTTAGTGTTACTGCTATTCGATATAGGAGTACATATAATCTCGTAGGTTTATATGCTACTTTGTAGGGAAGTGAAGTCTTTCTAAAGACTTCACAGCTGTAGCAACTAGGTTAACTAGGCTCTCCCTGGCTGGTTTCAGGGCTGAATGCTTTCAGCATGTTACACCTTCACCCAGCCACTGTATTTTTCCACCTGTGGAATGGAGATTTTGGCCTTTTTGGGGGTAGTTTTCTCAATCTTTCAACTAACCGGTTTGGTTAGAAAACCATGAAGGGAAGCTGCTTCCCTAGGCAGGATAATACTCATGCTTTTGGGGAGATTTCCTTATGTTTGTGCCTCTCTCGCGTTCTTTCCCCGACATCCTGGTGTGAAGGTGCTGGATGGTTCCCCTATCGAAGTGACATTAGCCAAACCCGTCGACAAAGACAGTTACGTCAGATACACCCGGGGCACGGGGGGAAGAGGTACCATGTTGCAAGGAGAATACACCTATGCGTTTGGACACGTGTACGATCCCGCCACGGCCTACCTCGGCGCTCCCGTCTTCTACGCACCCCAGGCCTACGCAGCTATCCCTAACCTTCATTTCCCGGCCACCAAGGGGCTGACCAACAGGAGCATTATCCGACCTCCATCTGTCCGAGGTAACTCCAGTCATGGCAATACTGAAACCTGTCAAAATATAACTCCCAGGTTTTAGAGGACTGCTTCGCTTCCTAGCTTGTTTTGAGGGCAAACATATGTGAACTCTCTCTCTTGTTTTTATCAGTGTATCCACTCATAACATTGCAGCTGGTACTAATGCTTTATCAAAAACTAGCAATTGGGGCATGACACCATCAGGCACCTCTTCTGATGATGTCTGGACATGTTGAGGCACGTTTCCCTCAGAGGGTGACTGTAAACTTCATTTTCTCATATTTTCTTAGAGATGGGGGAAGTCATGCAAACCTCATCTCATGTTCCTATCATCAAAGACCAGCAGCCCTTAGTGCCCCTTCCGGTATCTATCACTGGAAAATACAAGAGCTTGCCTGTGCTCCCATGCTTTTCAGCTCACGAGAGCTGCTTCCCACACCTCCAGCCACCACGATCTCAAGTCAACAGTGAAGGCCCTGGCATACCGTCCAACTTACTGTTGGTCGTCATTGCCCTGAACTCTGGATCCTTTTAACAGAGGGACAGAAAACACAGTTTTTAGCATCTGCCCTTACCAAAAGCACAGTGGTCTTCCAGCACACTAAGCAGGGCATGAAAACATGACCATACCCCTGGAGCAAGCTGGATGGCCGCCTCGAAACAGCTTTCAAATCACCGTCCCTCCAGGGTAAATAAAGCAGGAATCCTCCTGATTTTGACCCAACAGGGAAAACAAATAAAACAATTTTGTTCCCCTTTCGGAGTCTAATCCCTCAACCAGCCACCAGCACAGCCCTCAGCTGTGTTTCTTCTTAACTGTAAAGCCTGTAGAGCAAGTTTTACCAGTGTTTTCTGAGCCCAAAATCATGGCGTTTCACAGGAAGGTCACCTTTGCAGCTGTCTCTAAACAGCCCTAGCTCCTGCTGCAGGGCCTGGTAACTGGGAACCAGAACTGAAATCAAGAAATTGATTGTGTGCTCTGGGAGATGGACTCCTTTTTGACAAATAATCTAATAATAAGCAATCTATAAAAAATATGCAGTCTTTCTGGAAGTTATTGAGACTCTGCCCTTGACCCTGGGTGACTGCACCTGCGACCAAATCATATCCCCACACTCAAGTTCCTCCCAGTTAAATCTGTGTAGAAGTAAATCTGGGGACTAGCAAAAAGCAATCTGTCCCCGAGCTTCCTTCCAAAGGTGACACCTGTTGCAAAGTCAGCTTGTGTCCCCAGCCCGCTGTCAGGTCCCACAGCAGACTGGGGATCCTGTCTTGCACGCCAGGAGGGTTGACAAGGACTGTCCCAGCCAATTTTTACTCCTTCCCAATGAAGGAAGGGAACTGGAGAGCAGAAATTTGCCTTTTTTTCCCCCATGTTTTTGTAGGCATGGATGAGGTTAGTTCACGTTATGGTTACACTGGGAAAGCTGCAGATGTGATAAACCACCAGCCCTCTCTTGCTTCACAGTCTCCTCAAACTACAAGAGGTGCTCCTGAAAATTAAAATGGAAGCATAAAGTGAAAAAAATGACCTTGGTTCACATGGTGGGGGTGGGGGGTCTCATAAGTATAAACTCTGAGCTCCTCAGGAAACTGAAATTACGCCATTGGGTAGGAATCATTATAATATCAGTTGTCCCCTTTCTGCCTTTTGACTGCAAATCCGGTTAGAAAGGTGTCGTGAAATCAAAAGTGATTTGTGCATGAACTAAATGGAAAGTTATGCCTCATCTTGACTGAGCAGAACAGAGAAGATGGAAATTGGGTAAGAAAGAAGCAGGGCTTCCCCCCTAACTTCACAAATCAAAGCATTCGAGCCCAAACGTGACAATGCCGAGTCTGGCTCATTCCAGAACAGCATTGCCGGGACTAAAGCCAGAAGTGATATAGTAGGAGGCGAAGCTTCATCTTGCAGTCCACTGCTGCACCCGGCTGTAATTCCCTGATTTACCACCTCTTGCAACTTGCAGAGGGTTTTCTAAGGAAAACCATCTGTGCAGCAGGGAATTGCACACCACGCTCACAAATCGGACTTTCCTCCAAAGGGACATGCAGGAAATTCCCCCCGGGAAATCCCCTTTCCGGCACCCAGCAGAGCCTGCAAGCGTCGCGGCCTTGAGCCTGCTGGCCCTCCTGCCCATCTTCTTCCCAAAATCAGTGAGTGGGGCTAACTTTTCCATTACAGCGAGAATCAGGGTAATTTTTCCGGTGATTTGATTCAGTTTAATGCCTTCTTACATTCCTAGAAATTTACATGAATGTACCTGTAGGGGCTGCGGGAGTTAGAGGACTAGGAGGTCGCGGCTACCTGGCTTACACAGGCCTGGGGCGCGGATACCAGGTCAAAGGAGAAAAGAGGGGAGAGGATAAACTCTACGACCTCTTGCCAGGAATGGAGCTCACGCCGATGAACCATGTCACTTTAAAACCCCAAGGGATCAAGCTTGCGCCTCAGGTACGTTCATGAAGGATAGACTAAATATGCTGGCCACACTTTGTCTTCTCCCAGAACGCTTGCATGAAAACAGCCTCTGTTTGAATTTGACGCTGATGAATATATCCATTCATAAATCTTGCGTGATGTGGGAAAAAAAAAAAAAGACTGGTAGTTGCATCTTAAAATACCCACCTGTCTGGCTGGAGAACAGCCTGTGTCCACTCTCTCGCAAGGGAGAGTGTCCATAGATATCCACAGGCATGAGATGAAGTCCTTCTAACTGCAACGATTCGTCCTTAAGAGCATTTTGGAGTAAAGAAATTCTCACCCAAAATGCATTTGATAAATAGGATGCATCGTTTAGGTCTTCACTGAGGAACAAATGCACATCAATAGTGGTTTTGCTGGAAAAAAAAATCACCCATTTTCCAAGTCGCAGCCTGTCATGGTATTGCACAGAGCTTTGCTGCTTCCACACATTCACTCCAACGCAGCACAAATAAAGACAAAAACGTGGAATAAATGATCTCCTCAGATCTGAGCGTATCACCTCTCGCTGACTCCTGTGATTTCAATGCAAGCCTCATGCCGGGTAGGAAAGCGGAATTGCACAGGTACTGTAACTTCTCATGAAACAGCAACGCTAAGAATCAAAATCAGAGAAATGTGTCTTAAAATTACTGATTAACTGTACAATCCGTGTGAATGCAGAAACTCTGATTGCGCAATGAAGCTTTTGCTGTGTTTGCCCATATGTGATGGATCCAGATAGATAACTGAGGCCTTAACAGAACAAACCCAGAAGAAATTCCCCAAGTTTTTTGGATGACTCCCCCTTGAGTCATCCAAAGCAACATTAGAAATTAACTTCATCCAGCACTTTGAATTACATCTCTGTACATTAATATTGAAATTGCCATAGTATCTGGATTGCCAAATGTTTTTGTAAAACATCCTCTTTTCCCTCCCTACCCCTAAAAACTGGAAATTTACCTTTTTCTTCCCCTGCAAAGCTTCACAAACCCTTTATTCTATTTTAGCAGCACACCTGAGGGGTGAAATGCTGATGCTGCAGCTGCCTAGGGCAGGTGAAATTCAGCTTTTTTTTTGTTTTCCCACTCTCTAGAAATGATTTGTGGGATTATATGAGAGTATAAAACATATGAAACCTCCTGCTTGCCCCGAACGAGGGATCATGCAACTTTCCTAGCAGTCCAGCGTCCACCTGTCTCAAACAGCTACAGCCTGGTTCACAGTACCATCTGCCTGGCTGCAAAAGAGACAGCCTCATTGACATGACAGCCTCGTTAACGTGACAGCCTCGTTAACGTGACAGCCTGCTTAACATCTGATGACTTGGTCAGCCTCTTCTGTCCACTAAATTGGGACCATTTCAACAGCATCTTTGAACGACCCGTCCCAATTTCGTTCCCATTGCCCAGCCAGGATGCTCAATGCTAATAAATAGACCTGTCTTATTGAAGATTTAAATGTTGATGTAATGTTTTAAATCAACCTCCTTATCATGCAGCTGGAACAGCAGGGGGCAAATGTTGCCATATTCAAGAAATCTAATGAACTCATTTACGTGCTCTATGAAGCGATAAGCTTAAATTGGAGTTTTTGAGCAGACATAATTTAAAAATTAAAACCAGCATTTGCAAAAGTTTGAGTAAAGTAGATCACAGAAGGATTCAGGATGGAAGCACCCTTTGAGGTCTCTGGTCTGAGCTCCTGCTTAGAGCAGGGCCAACATCGCAGCGACAGCAGGTTGCTCTGGGCTGTTTCAGTTTCAGCAGATAGATAGCCAGAATTTTTCTGCCTTTTGTCCGACTTTGCGGTCGGACATTGCAAAGTCAGTCATTATGGCACTGAAAAACATTTGGAGAAACCCAATGACTTCTCAACTGAATGGCAAGTTTGGCTGAGTTACTTAGAAAAATAGCTGGTTTGAGCATTGCTACTAGGGAGGTATGGGAACGTTGAGCTACATTCAAGTCCGTCTGGGACACCAGCTACCCAGTGGGTTAAAAAAGGAAGATGAAGCAAAAGCATTTCTGGACAATGTTTCCCAATTAACATTGAATAAGCCGTTCTTAGGTAGAGGGCAAAATGGTTCAGCATTTCTCTTTCAAACTAGAAGCAAAAATAGCCTATGGAAGCCTGTATAATTAATTGGAGAGAAACACAGCCTTTTTTTAAGACTGTTCGGACAGTTCATACACTCTATCCCACTAAGCCAGAGAGGCATCAGAGAAGAGAAGACGAATGCAACCATGGTGCTTTAACACTGTTAAAAAGTAGTGCATAGAGTTACTGATGAGAATTCAAAGAAAATCATGCTGGTAGCCGAACAAAACAGCTAATTGACAAAACGGACAAAAGCATCAGATTTAACAGGGTAATAATAACCTTCAGGCAGTGAATGACGTTTTTAAGGTATAAGACATCTAGATGAATCTTGTATTTCAGAGTGGACCAAATTACCGGGTCCTCCATTTGTTTTTGGCTTAGCTTAAGCTAGGAAGCTACCAATATACCTCTGAAAACCCTCTGGAGGGAATGAAGCTTAACAGTGCAGAGGGCTGGAGCTGGGCGAGAACGCGACTGTGCGGCAATTAACCAAAGCAAATCCCTTTTTCCCTTCTAGATCTTAGAAGAAATCTGCCAGAAAAATAATTGGGGACAGCCTGTTTACCAGCTTCATTCTGCAATTGGCCAAGATCAAAGACAGCTGTTCCTATATAAAATCACGATTCCTGCCCTTGCTAGCCAGAACCCTGCCATGTACGTAACTGTTGGGATTTTTTTTGTGGGTTTTAGGAATTTTTTTAAAGGTCATTTTATCTAGCATCTCTCTGAAAATACAACCACGCAGGCGTCTATTTGCAGTTATTTTGGACATCAGGGAGAAGAACAGCCATAAACTAAAGATGACCGATAGCAAGGCCTGCCATGCTTTGCGCGCTTTCGCTGGTGGTCCAAAAATCTACATAAAATCAGAAACAGGCAGGCAAAGGGGATTTTTTCAGTAGGCAAGCAAAATATACACTAGTTCTTTTAGGAAGAAGAAAGCACATGCTTATATTTCAGATCCAAATATGATCCTAAACACTTCCGATCTAAAATACTGTTTGCTATGTACTTTATCAAAAGACCCAGACTCCAGCAGGCTTTCTCTGGACTGAAAAAGCAGTTTGGAGTATGGCAATATTTGGCAGCATGCTCTGAAAGGATGTTTTGTCCAAAACGAGGGCCAGGGCTGATAAACTCAGCGAGCAAGCTGGACTGCTATGAGGAGAATATTTTTGTTAATCCATCCACACAGTTAACTCGTGCTTCCATTTGGTGTGTGGCATCGTACCAACCATACAGACTACATGCAAAGGCTGACATGGCTAGAATATTTAATCCAACGTCCTGGATGGAAATAACTTGCAGGAAGGTCCTGGAGGAAAAAAAAAAAAGAAAACAAGCTACTATTTTCTTTTATCCACAGACATCCCTTCACACCTCCCAAGCTCAGTGCATATATTGATGAAGCCAAAACCTACGCAGCAGAATACACCCTTCAGACGCTGGGGATTCCCACAGAAGGAACAGAGGTGCCTCCCGCAGCACCTGCTTTTCCAGGTATGTGAAGGTCTGTACAGCAATGGTCTCCTGGTATTTTGTTTTCCCAAAGTCCTTTCTTGTGTGTGTCTAAGAATTCACCAGTTTATGTTCACTGCAGCACCTGGCTGTGCTTCTCTGCATGTCTTTACCTTGGGCTGATACTACTTGTGTGTGTGGCATCTTTACTGTCCATATAGTAACAATTTATCAGCGCATCAGGACTCCCCAAATTATGGTGTACTTATAGAATAGCAGGCTGGAGGCACCCTCGGATGAGGGTCTCCAGTCTGACCCCAGCGCACAGCAGGGCCAACGTTGCACCTACAGCAGCTTGCTCAAGGCTGTGTCCAGGAGAGCCTGGCAATCACCAAGGATGGAGATCTCCCACTGCTTGGCAATGGGAGATGCACCAGGGATGCTCCTGCCCTAGACTCCCTCCAGTTTGTAGATGCCTCTTGTAGTGGGGGGCCCCAAAGTGGACACTGGATCCAGATGTGGGCTTCCTAGTGCCAAGCAGAGGGAATAACCCTGTCCCTCAACCTGCTGGTTGCACTCCGGCCAGCACAGCCTAGGATGGTGTAGATCTTCCTCACCACGAGCTCATGGTCACCTTGCCATCCCTCGGCATCCCCAGGCCCTTTTCTATCAACACTTTTGATTTCACCCGCCAGACAAATGACACAACTATGACATTCAGGTTCTGATCCAAGTTCTCTCCCACCCCCACTGGAAGGCTTATATTTCCAAGTTGAGAGGTCATAGCCAAAAACAGCTCCTGAAGCTACCCAAAAGAGCTAGAGAAATTATGGAAAACAAGCCGGGAGCAGGAATTCAGTAGGTAGGCATTACATTTACTGTGCTCTCCGGCATGACGGTTATCCTGATGTAGAGGGAAAAACTTATGCCAAACTGCACATGAGGAATGCATTAGTCAGTACTACTGAATTGTTTGGAGTGTCTCAGGGATGGATTTGAAAAAAAAAAAAAAATCTATCCGGCTTCCTGCCACAGAAGTCCGCAAAAGCCACAGAAAAATCAATTTGTCTGGGTTTGTGTTAGCTTCCGCAGCATGGAAACCAAATGGAGACATTATTGAATCCAGCCCCCACTTATTGCTTAATTATAATCTCTCCTTTTTCTTTCATCCACCCTTATTTATTTGTCTTGGCATTTCAACAAATAATAGCCATACATTAAAGTTCTGCCTGCAGCATGCCCTGGTCTTTGGTCAACACTAGCTGAGACCCAGCACATCTCAGGCCATTAGCAGGCAACAGCTCATTTCTGTTATGATGTTGCCAAATACTATACTTTAAATGATGAATTTCTCAATTCCAATTTAAAAGGGTGCATCTTAATTCACTGAAGTGACGAAGCTATTTTACTCTGAGTGATCATAATCAAGTTATAGCAAATTTCTCATTTTTTCCCCTATGGTAACAACTTCAATGAGGCAATATGCTTTCTATGTTACCCATATGCCTCTATGCCTCTATGTCCCCGAGAGAGGCACCCGGATCTGACTGATTTTGAATCAGTTCAAATGTTTGGCCACCTGGCTGGCCAGTCAGCAATGTTGGACCTGGCAGATGTCAAGCTTGGTCCAGCGAAGATGATAGGTACCCCAGTTCTTGTTCTTCTTCTTCTTGTTCTTCTTCTTGTTCTTCTTCTTGTTCTTCTGCTTCTTCTTCTGCTTCTGCTTCTGCTTCTTCTTCTTCTGCTTCTTCTGCTTCTTCTGCTTCTTCTTCTTCTGCTTCTTCTTCTTCTGCTTCTTCTTCTTCTTCTTCTCCTCCTCCTCCTCCTCCTCCTCCTCCTCCTCCTCCTCCTCTTCTCAGTTCTTGATTCTTTCACAACAAAATGTAGTGGGCTAATCTATATTCTGTTTTCAGATAGACCAGCCCAAAATGATGTTTGTTTTCCCAATGATTCACTTCAAATCAGCAAAGCTAACATTTTCCCATGGAAAATTTTGAAGTGTTGAAACCACATTTTTTCCATTAAAAACTGATGGGAAAAATTCCATTTTACTAAATATTTTCTCCTCAATATTTTCTCCTTCCTGCACAGAAGGCATGTCTCTCCTCTCTAAAGTGGCTACCCTGAATTGCACATACTTCTGCTGTTCAGGGTGTCAGAGCCATATAGTCCCCCATCTACACAAACATCTCGCCTTTGAAACCTGCTCAGATTTTGCTCCATGTTGCTTATATTTTCTTGTCCTCCTCATGCCCTATGTGGAAGATTGTGTAAAGAAAACCAGCACTACCCTCTTAGTTCAGAGATAATCAAAGCTTAAGGAAAAATGCTCAACAAAGGTTTTTTTTTCTTTAAGTAACATATTTAACAAATAATAGACGAGAAAATGCGTTAATTTTCCAGCTGCAGTAGTTAATTTTACTCCCTGTAACATGGTGGAAAAACATGCCAAAATTCAATCTGAACAGATTAATTCCATGTATCCACTGGCAAATTCGTTGTTCCCTGTATTATTCCCATTGACAACAAGTCTTCCTAATGAAAACTGACTGTCAGGTGGCCTTTGAACATCTTTTCATTAACCCGCATTTTGGTATCTCTGGTCCCCTGCAGGATACACCATTGCTAATGCAGCCGCGACAGTCACAGCCACTCAGCTGAAACAAGCAGTGACAATGGGACAAGATTTAGCAACTTATGCCGCGTATGAAGCCTACCCCGCCTTCGCAGTAGCTACACGCAGTGATGGTTATGGGGCGTTTTAATGCTGTATTGTATCAATAGTTTCCTTAAATTAAGCACAGGCAGGAAAATTCTCATGATTTTTAGCTAATCTGTCTTCTAAAATTAGATTTTAGCCCGAGTTTTATTCTTCTAGCTTGTTAGTTTCATAACAGAACGTTGGGGGACAAAAAGAAAAATTAAGAAAATCAGTAAAAATCAGACTTTCAGACTACAAGTAGAATGTTATCCCAGAAGATAAGTGGTTCTCAGGTATATATAGCATTGTGTGTGTGTGTTTACAAGCAACAATCCACACTGAAAACAGAATAAGTCCCATTCAGGTGGTGATTTGAGAGCCTGGGAAGGAAGCGGTGCTTCTAGCAATCCCGCACTCTCCGCTCTCTCTCTCTGTTCACCTGTATCTCTATCCAGACAGAGAAATTTAAGGCTGCCCCTTTGGCCCTTGGTGAACAGATCGCTGGCTTGCCTTTTACCGCCTTTGAAAACCTCGTGTGACAAGCGCTCCGGGGACGTGCTCAGGCTCAGTTAGGCACCTCATTTTTTTTTTTTTAAATTAATGCTAGCACAGCCAAGGAAAAAAGTCATAAATGTGTCAGTCCAACCTAACAGCCTGATTTGTATGCTCTTTAATGCAGATACGATTTTTCAAGCAGAAGGCAGGCATTCAGCAGAGTTTTCTCTCCTACTTTGCTACTTCCTGGCCGTAGCTATAAGTAGCAAAACAGCGAAGAATGGTGCATTCTCCCCTCCCGTCCAATGGCATTTTCAGTCAAAGACAGGAAAACCTTCAGGACTATTAAGGTTGAGGACCAGAAAAACACTATTTATTGTGGCCAATCTTTACATTCATGAAAGTTTCCCGGGGTAACGCACGCGCCTCTGCAGTAAACGTTCCTCCTGTTCTGAAGAGCACCGGCCTCTGGTAGCCAGGGTCGGGTTCGTACTCTTTTGGGATACTGAAAGTGTCCTTTGCTTAACAGCAGCAGGGAATTATTCTTATATTTCAGTCATCGGATTGACCTAGGAGTAACCATGCCCAGCAGACAGAGAAGGAATTCGGTTTTCGGTAACTACAGGGCACTTGTTTTAATTGTCTAGAGCATGCACTCTAAGAAAACTGGCATCTGTTCAGTCTAGATCTGAAAACCGCCTCAGATTTATTAGCCAGGAGAGTTTACAACCTGTAAGATGAACAGCTGAATCCCCTTCTGGTTCTTCCACAACGTTATTCCAGGTGTACATTTTCCTCTGTCACAGAGCAAAAACAAGCATCTTCCCCGCATGTCACGAGAGCAGCTCCCCCTCAGTGTTTAGATGTTGGTGCCCATTGATTTGAACAGATCTGGCCCTAAACTAGATGAGATAATGTGACACTGTGAAAGCTGTTTTGCTATTGTAAGTGGAGCTTAATCAGATGTACCTAAAGCTTTAAAAAAAGTGCTAATCAATGAAAAGGGGTTGACCAGTAGGAACTAAGTACTCTCATACTTCAGCTGACTTGATCTTGGCAGGACTGGAACAAAACCATATAAGCTGTATAGTTTGTGGTACTATTAGACGCCTATGTTGAAGATGTTTTGTAGCTTTGTAGTAGCATCTCTCGCTCGCTCTCTGCCTAGACATACGCGCGTACGCATGTTCCTTAACTAGAGCATGTTCAAGAAACTTAAAAGGACGCTGTCAAGGTATCTGCTATCATTTTTACTATCCTGGCTGTTTATTTTTAGTACCTTGCTTTCTGTGATCCGCTTGAGCTCTCTTGTGTCTCATGCTGGCATTACTATAGCCCAGCAGAAACCGGGGGCCTTTTGTACGCCAAGGACTACCTCAGCTGTCTTCCCCCCTGCCTCGCTTGCGTGGCAGTAGGTTGCTTACCTGTGTCACTCTCCAACGCTGGGCAGCCTTCTACAAGCGTAGCTGATTTCTTTTGCATTGCTTTGAGTTTGCTGCCGGCTTTCAAGACAAGCCAGGGTGGCTGCCAGAGAGCAGGTGCTTAGGTACCCATGTGGAGCTGGGCTTTCGGAGAGGTCCTGCAAAAATTTGCCTAATCCCAAACCGTTTCTTCAATTAAATTTCATTAGCGCTCTCAGGCGGGAATATCACTTAAGGAAAATGACCTTATAATCGAAGTTAGGCACAGGAATCATTCGCAGTCACTGCCTTGGACAGCGTCCCTTTAAGATATCCGGAGCATTACCTCCAGCTAGATACTTCAGACCCTCTGTACCTGCTGCTAATGGAGGTTTGTTTCTATTTATAAACCATCTCATTCAGGTGATCCAAAAGGTATTATTGTCCTCTGTCATTGCTATTCAGCACACCTTCATTCACAAAAAAAAAAAGAAAAAAAAAACTAAAAAAAGACAACCCTGGTTGCAGGGTTGCAAGAGTGTTATTGGTATTCTAGCTGTATTTTCTCTTCTATCTCTGTGTTTTAAGTCATGTTTCAAAATACTGCCAATGAATAATAGAGCCATGCTTCTCTTTTTTAACAACAACAAAAAACTACTGTTGGTAGAAAACATTTCTCATTTTCAATATTCAGTAACTATAGTCTGCTTTTTCAGCTATTTATATAAGTTCAGAAAGATGTCAAAGAAAAGGGCAAGAAACAGTATTAAAAAGTGTGTGCATGAAGCACTTATTTTTGTACGCTTAGTACAATATTTGTATAGAGTTTTAACACTATGAAGTGTAGTAAAAATCACACCGTCCATTTACTGGAGGACAATCACATATGCTTAGATGAAATGAAGTCAAAATGGCATCTTAATCACCCATTACAAGGAAATTATAACCTGGATTAAATTCTGTGAAGTAAGTTTGTAATTCTAGAATAATCAAAGGGCATTAACTGGACTTTGCAATATCATTAAAACGTTTAAACCAACATGAACGCCTCAGTCCTTTTCGTTCTAAGTTTTATCTGGAAAGGTCGTCCCGCGCATGGTAAATAAGAGCACACTTTGCTCTGCTGGCATCAATTTGGGGTCATATAGGCAAGTTCACAAACCGCTCAGTAATGCTGAGATTGTTTTGAACGTGCACTCTGATGACACCTGGCACTTGCATGTGGCAGAAAATAGACAGTTTTATGGTTTTGCACCTTTAAGTCAAAAATCCAAGGTTTGGGTTTTTTCATCACCTCTTTGGCCAGTGTTTATCTTCATCTCTATCACTCTACAGGAATTATATTTGCTATAAATTTATTATAGTAGTAACATTCATGTGGTACTTCCAGATGTTTTCCACAAAGATTAAAAAGAAAAGTAACCTCTCAAAGTTTCAGCCACAACTGTTGTGAGCCACCTAAGCATATATAAATTGAAGCTACCCTAATCTAGAAGGTCCTCCAGTAAGCTACAACGGAAATGCCACAAGTTTCAGGAAAACTCCCAAGGATTACTTAGAAAGCAGTGTCAAGACACCTGCAATCGGAGCTAAATGAGGTCCTGAATTTTAAGGAACGCACCCTACTGACACCACATGCCTTTGCAGAAGAGCTCAGCAGCTCTATGATTACTGGAAAAGAAGAGGGTGAACATGCATAAAATGGGTGAGGAGATGGAAAAAGCCTAGAAACTGGTTTAAGAGCAAGCTGGATGTGGCTGGGAAATCTCAGAAGAACCCGTCCGTTTGTTCAGCTTTGCTTGCTACAGCAGTCACGTCGTAGGCAACTCACAGTTCATTAGAGTAAAGCATTTGTACCTTGTGTGCAGGATCCGTCAGGGCAAAGAGTGGGAAACTGTTGCTTTCCCGTTCATCCGGGTGCTTCAGACAACAGCACTCGCTTCGGAGCTAGCCAGCCTTGAATGCTTAGGAAAGCACCAGTTTTTCCTCAGCCCTGCTCTGCTGAATGCTAAACAACAGGAACAATATTTGCTCCTTACACGATCCCAAAGAAACTGTCTCGGAGGTGAGCAGCTACCAGAGCCTTTGGCTAGCAAGACACGAACACACAAAAATAAAGAGGATGATGGGGCAGAAGGGGCAATACAACATTTAGAGGTGGAAGGAATTGGTCCTACCATGGGAAGAGCCTGTCATCAGATACGATGCTACCTGACTAGCTGTAGTCCTGGTCACTTTAAGAGGATGAGGCAGGATGGGAGGAAGCTGGAAGAGAAGAACTACCTCTTACCTGAAGGGCTTCATAGCCAAATAATTGAGCCATAGCAATTTCTGCTTCTGCTCCTAAAACCAGGAGCAGTAACTGCTAGTTGTTTTTTTTTTATTATTTTTGGTACCTCTCTCTCTAGAGAGATCCCAAACCCAAGAGCTGAGACAAGATCTGGTGACCTGCCATTGATATCACATAGCATTCAACAAAAGGTGTCTCTGCCAGGCCAAAAGAGATTTCCCCAAAATAGTCTGACTTTATTTTTGCAGATTCATAGGGAGGTCAGCTGTATTCTGGGCTTTAACAACAGCTTTGCCATCTCTATTATCTTACCTCATTGCGCTTACCTCATGTCCTGCTTTTGTTTTGTTTGAAATAGGGCAATGGGAGAATTCACTTTTCTTCTTCTTCTAAATTTCCTTTCCAATTTCTTAGAGAACCAAAATTCCCTTTTTTTTTCCTCAAAAGCTGCTGGTTGATAAGCTTTGGAGAGCAAGCATGCTTTTCAGAACACTGAAATCTATGACCCAACTTCAAAAACATTATTCTCCTCTTTTTTAAAGATATGTGCTCCCCATGGAGAGCAAGACACAGCCAAAAACTATATCCATTCTCCGCAAACAAGACTGAGACATGTTTGACCCTTAAGCAATGAGAAGGTCAGTGGCCCAGAAACCTTGCAGATGGCCACACGTTTGTCTGCTTACAGGACAAGAGGCACAAAAGCTGCATTTTCTTGCTTCCTTCCGCCATCCAGCCCTTTTCTGGAAGTTTCTATACCACAAGGCCTCACATATGAGGTGCAAAGTAAGAACAAAATGTGTCTGAGGATCACACACCGATTCCGCCTTTGGAGCCAGATAGACTCTGAAACATCCCATCCTGAAAATAGTTCCTGTGTCCCACTGAAAACTCTGTTACAAGCCTATGGGATAAGGGCTCCAGCTTACACATGCAGTGACTTTCAAGGGGAGTCATTTCATATTTGGGATTGGGTGACCCCCCCCTTTCCCTCTCAGCCCAGCTAAGGTTCCCATTGACCATCAGAGATCCTCTCCCAGAATTCACCCACCTGGGTCTGCCTGTTTTCAAAAAATCCCTATCTGACTCAGATTTTTTTTTTGGTCACCCTCTCTCACTCTTCCTATCCACCCTACCCACGCTTTCTGCTGGGCAGGGACTATGCAATTTGGTGCAAAGCTGGTCGTGGGTTCATGATGTGGGCACTGGAGCCAGGTCTCCAGCTCTCGGGGTTGGAGGCACTGCTGCCCGTAAGGCGGAAGTGACGTGCCATGTGTCCTACTGTATGACATTCAAGCCTTGGACCACAAATCACTGCTATTAATTAGCTGCCTGTGGGTCAGCCTGGCCCCGGTGCTGCTAATGCTGCAACTTAGAGCACTGCTGAGTACTGGGAAAGGAGGATCTTTTCCTCTCTGAGGATATATCTTCAGTCTCAAACTTACTGTCTGACTCCCACCGCCATTTCCTAAGGGGGAAGGAAGATACGTTGGAGAGGAACAGATGTTCACATCACAGCTGCACAGAGATCTCCCCAGAGGTCCATCCCACACCACCCCCACTTCAGCTGTAGGGGTACCTTGTGGGATGCGCCTTTCTTTCAGGGGCTGGAAATTATTTCCGCCTCCAAACTCCTGGGCTTGGCTGAAATTGCAAGTTCTCCCCAGCTCCCCCTTGTCAGTCGTCCTTGGGGGGCTAAGACAGCCCCTGCTCACCAGCCCCTCTCCTCTGCAGTGGTGCTTGGGCAGGCTGATCTCTCCAGAGATGCCCTACCACCTCGAACACTCCTCTGCAGCATTAGTCTTGCCCTGGCTTGGCCCCAGGTACCTGCTGGAGAAGGGGACTGCACATCCTCTCCCCATCCAGATTTGAGGCTGTTTAAGAGAAACATCAGAAGAGTGACGTTCACTGGATGCAGAGCCATGTTGTGCATATATAGCCCCAGCTGTGAAGATGTTGAAAAGCAGACGGTTGCCCGTGGACATGCAAGGGTAAGAACAGGCACTGAATTCAGGGTGCACACAAAGATCCTTGGTGGGACACATGCAAACAACAGCAGACAACCACAGGATCATACAGATCCTAAAAGCTTGCATCAAAGTCCAGAGATAGCAGAAGGCTTTTCCTCTTTACTCCAGTGCCTTGGGTCAGATCCTAATTTAGCATCACTCTTCTGCAGCACCAAATACTGTCAGCAATTCTGGACAGATGAGATGTTGTGCAGGAGGAAAATTGTAGCATGGTTAAGTCTTGCAGAGCAGACACAGATAATTGAAAGAAACTCTGTGAGGTGTCTCAGCCGAGCCAAGATCAGCCTACAGAAGCATGCACCTCCCAAGTGACTTTCTAAAGTTCATATTAGTTTATGTACCATGACAGAAAAGGTGGAGCTTACATGTGCCCTCTGAGCACGTACACAATGCACAAATGTCTATACATTGAAGGAGAGCAGCTCTAGAGAGACAAGAGCAACTGTGATGAGTAATCCTAAATTTAACAACTGGCAGGTTGCCTAAATTCTTGAAAATTTTTTACGGTTTCTCTCTATTTAGTGACAACCTTGTTCTGCTGTAAAACTGCAGTGGCACCTAGCGGTGGCTGAATTCAATCACAGCACCCTACTACATGCTGCTGATGTGAAGGCAGCCAATAGGGAAGGACTCACTGCCTGCGAACAGTAAATAAGGTCCACCATGCTATTAAACACAAATAAAAAGAAGTACTTTTCCCACAGCTTTTCTCAGACTGCAGCACTTAGAGTCGTTGAATTCTATGGAAGCCAAAAATTACAACTTCCCACCCCGGAAACCTGGAAAAGCCTGTGCCCAGCAGCGACAAATGAACAAATAAGCCTGTAAACTGGGGGACTGGAAGGGTACACTAGGGAAAGGTATGGGTTTATCCTCTTCCTTAAGCACCTGCTAAGGACCACGATCTAAGAGGGATGCTGCCCCAGCTGCATTATTTCACATCCATCAATGCTTTGGACCCATTTCTTAGCATCTACCTTTCAAACTTCTTTATGGTGACACCGTGCTATGAAGGTCACAGAGTGGTTCACAAGGGGGACAGCGCTGTCCCACACATTTGTCTTGTGGGACTCTCCAGATACCCTGATTCTGGATCTCACCACCTCCCTTGTTCTCATGTGAGGAAAACTAATTTTCTAAAAATGCTCTTTTAGGATCAAATGTTTAAGTTTTAGAAGCTAAATCTTATCCATGAGCTGTTTAACTGTGCAATTTAATTTTGCTTGGAAAAATACGTTCTGTACAGGCGCTATTAAAAATCCATGGTTAGTGTAACGCAATAATACAAACAAAATTATTTGAAACAATTAAATAAAACATTTCAGTGTTCCCTGGCCTAAGAAAATGGGCTACTATTTACTTTTCCACAATGCATTTCTTAGGAAAGCAAAACACTCCCATGCAAGTAATTCTAGTTTATACAGCGTAAGGAAAACGGTAAATAGAGGGATAATGATTGTGATATAGGGTGACGTTAGGCAACACTGGTTTCAGTCAGAAAGCCGCTACTGTGTCTCATAAAGAGGATCAGGCCCTGCTTAAGGGGGCTACAACATGTTTCACCAGGCAGAAAACCAGCAGGGTCCCACACGAGCAGAGCAAAGCTGATGCATGAAGAGGGAGAAAGTTTGCAAGGAACTTTCCAAATCACTTTGCGACGCAAGCATTGCTACACTTAGCAAACCCATCCTGCACCACGGCAGGCCAAGCTGGAGGCAC